TTTTTAACATGTATTTACTAATGCTTTACAATATTACTATATAGTATGATTCTCCCAGTCTCCTCTCTGTGATAAACCTGTCATTCTCTCCACAATGAGCCCACTCCAGTCCCTTATTACAATGAATATTCTCAGATTTCCCCACAATGAATCTGCTTCAGTTTCTCTCTATAATGAATCTGCCTTGGTTCCCCTCTACAATGAACCTACTTCAGTTTTTTCTACAACAAACCTGTCTTAGTTTCTCCTTACAATGAGCCTGTTTCAGATTCTCTTTACAATGAGCCTGCTCAGGTTCTCTCTACAATAAACCTGTGTCAATTTCTCTTCGAGATGAATCTGGTTTGGTTTAAAGACTTGTTTTGGTTCCAAATACTCTAATTCATAAATTGATCAATAGAATTAATAAACTTGAAAAAAAACTAAGATATTAGAAGCACTTCATAATAACAAGAAAAGAAAAGTTATTGTAATAGATAATTAAAGTAATCTGTTTAGATAGTACTGTATATATATATATAAATATAGAACATATATATATGCAATATACATATAAATAAATTTTATAGTATTTTCTTATAAAACTTTTTTTTTAAATTATGTATTGAAAGTCAACATTTTTGCTTAATATAAGTTTATAATCAAAATCTGAATCTAATTCTTTCAGATTCAATAGGCCATATAAGTTTTTTAGTTCAATAAAATTCTATTATATAATAAAATACTTTATTATTACGATCAAAAAAATATTCTTTCTATTAATTGAATGTAACATGCTTTTATTCTGATCTTGAAACATAGTTTCAAGTAAAGTGTTTAGCTTTGCTGTAAGAGTTGATTGAAAGGTTTCATACTATATACATATATACAATGCTGGGTAAATAATATATATAAACCAAAAGCATACCAACTTATTAATAAATAAATATAAAATTACTGATATGAGTATTATGTAAATCTTTTTGAAATATATTACTGCTATTTAAATCACAATGAATAATATATATTATTCAAGTGAATTATTTGAAGATTGAATGCAATAAATTATAATGTTTTTAATTTTTCTCACACTTTATTCATGCTACATTATAAAGATCTTATGTAAAGATCCTATTTCTTCATATTGCATAATTAAATATATTCATTTGTACATTCATCTTTTGATATTCAATAAAATTGCAAAAATGTAAAGTTTTCACAACACAACAGCTTATAAACAAAATGCCAAAAGTTATACAGAAACACAATGATAAAGAAGTTATAAAGCTAGCAGCTATCAAAAACTAGAAATATAATTCTAAACAAAGTAGCAATGAATAGAAAAATTAAAACCTATCTAGAAAGAAAAAATAATTAGTAGTTAAACATGTTCAGGAAATTAAAATCAACTAACACAATATATAATAGTTATCAAAGCCAGAATTATAATTCCAAACAAAGAAGTAATGAAGAGAAAAATAGAAATCTATCTAGAAAAAAAAATAGATGATAGTTAAATGTGTTCAGGAAATTAAAACCAACAAAATTTATAGTAGTTACCAAAGCTAGAAGCATAATTCTAAATGAAGAAAAACTAATAAAAAAAATCAAAACCTAACTGGAAAAAGAAATAGGTGTTAGTTAAACATGTTCAAGAATTAAAGCCAACCAACACAATTTATAATTGTTACCAAAGTCTGAAGTATGATTCCAAATGAAGAAATAATAAAGAGAAAAATCAAAACCTATCTGAAAAGAAAGAAGCAGTAGTAGTTAAGCATATTTAGAAAATCAAAATCAACTAACACAATATATAGTAGTTACTAAAGCTGGAATCATAATTCCAAACAAAGAAGTAATAAAGAAAAAAAATAAAACCCACCTGAAAAAAGAAATAGGTGGTAGTTAAACGTGTTCAGAAAATCAAAACCAACAAAATTTATAGTAGTCACTAAAGCCAGAAGAATAATTCTTTTTTTTATTTTTTTTATTTTTTTTTTTTTATTACTGTAATATAATGCCATAGTAGAAACTTTATTACAAAAAACCTAAATTAATCTAAAGACTAATAGTCTTCTTATTTTAGA